ATGTAATAAAAATTGGGGGTCACCTTTCATCCTAAGGAGCTATAACAGATTAAAAATATTTATGGTTTTATGCATATATAAATGTTGACGCACGCGTACGTGCACGCTAAAAGGCGCAAAGAAAAAATTAAGGTACATAACATTCAACCTTGACCTGTAGCTTATGTTCACCTAATATGATTTGGAAATGACGAAGGGTTAAAATTATATGGGGTCATCAACGTTTTGAAGAAAGAGAAATGAGGGGGTCAGAAAAAACAATTTTTTTGACCATGATGACGTCATCAAAATCTAAAAAGGGGTCAAATATATCAAAGAGAATTGTCTCAGCTATAACATACTAAAAGTTGGAAGACGATCGACCAAGGATAAGCGAGATACGCTCAAATGCGTATTTTCAAAAATGACGTCCTAGCTATAATTCACTTCCTTGAATTCAGATGCCAATATGATGACGTCACAATGTCCGATCAGCCATTATGATCTATAAAATCATATTTACAACTTATGTGCTTTCAGAATATGTGATAAAAATTGGGGGTCACCTTTCAACCTAAAGAGCTATAACTGATTAAAAATAGGTCTGATTTTAGCATAATTTCACTGTATAGCGGCACAAATACGCGCAAAGGTACCTATGTTTGATGCGCACGTACGGTATTGCTATTGGCCAAAATATGACCGAAAAGACTGGAAGTTTGTGAAAACAATGTCAGGAACCCAAATTATGTGAAAAAACATAGTGTCTAGCTTCCGTACGTGCTGCGCGCGTAAAAATGCGCGCTCGTAGTAAAAAATTTAAAGAAAAATTGAAATGCTCAAAATGGCCTGAAACGTGCTCTAATTTAGTTAAAAAGTGATTTCAAGCATTTTGAAATTTTGATGCACGCGTGCGCGCGCATTATGAAGCACACGCGTAAAATTAGGGTACAGTACATTCAACATTAACCCGAAATTAATGCTCACTTAATACGATTTCGAAAGGGCAATTGGTTAGGGTGATATGACCGATAATGTAAAAACGCAAAATTGCACGTAGATGACGTCACGCATGACTGAGCGCGTTGAAAAGCTTACCATGACTATTCCAGACCAAGTCAAATGTTCGTTGATAGCGATTGTGCGTAACTCGTGGCATTTTTTTGAGATATCGTGCGAACAGAAAATGGGAGAAAGAAAGAAGAATAAGACTAGATTTGAACTCGTCACTGAGGACGAGTTAGGTGATCCGCCGCATTTTGACCCTCATTAAGATCACACGATGATTAAAAAGTGTCATAATATGCTAAAATATGCTGTAATTAGTTTTTTTTAAAAAGAATAATTTTGAGCATTTTAAAAGATTTCCGCTTGTGTACATGTACGTCTTGACGCCCGTGAGCACGGTAACAGCACAAAGAGTGACTCTTGATATGAATAATGTGTCAGGAATACAAAGTATGTAAAGGCCAACTCAGACAGCGTCGGCCGACGCAGCCCGAGACGATTTATCGTCGGGGACGGTCTTAAGTCATCTTGAGAAATATTAAACACGTTTAATATTCTACTACGCGACTTCCCCCGACGCACACCATCGCGTCTGCATTCAACTCACACAGACCCGACGCGACAACAAATCGCGTCGGCTGCGTCGGCCGACGCTGTCTGAGTTGGCCTTAACAAAACGTGATTTCCAGCTTTAATATGTCCTGTATGCGTGGAAATGAACGTACGGCGGGAAAATTATGGAAAGTTTTTAAATGTTGAAAATGACCCAAAACGTTCTTTAAACTATCTAAATAAAATTTACAAATTTTAACAGACACGCACGTCACGTGTGTGTGTACAGTAATAGCACACGAAATTAAACATCGTCAAGTGTATTTAAAACCGCTTGTTAGTTGGTAATGCCACCCGAACTTTCCCTTCACATAACCTATATATATTAGTCTGATAGCGTCGAAATACAGTCTGCCGCCCTCACTCTGTTGTATTATTTTACATCTTTTAAGAATGAGAGATAAAAGGGCTCCAAAAATTCATTCTTTTTTACCATGTTGACATGATCAAAATGAAAAAATAAAGGGACAGTCTTCAAGAGAATTGATTTAGCTATAACATACTCACAGGTAGGAGACAATCAATCAAGAATAAGCGAGATACGTTCAAACGAGTATAAACATATTGGCATCATAAATAAAAATTCAGTTTTTTAATTTAAAGTGCAATATGATAACGTCACCATGTCCGATCAGCAATCGTATCTACAACTCATGTGCTTTCAGATTAAGTAATAAAAATTAGGGGTCACCTTTCATCCTAAGGAGGTATAACTGATTAAATATATTCATGGTTTTATGCATAAATAAATGTTGACGCACGCGTACGTGCACGCTAAAAAGCGCGAACGGAAAATTAAGGTACATAACATTCAACCTTGACCTGAAGCTTATGCTCACGTAATATGATTTAGAAATGACGAATGGTTAAGATTTAATGGGGTAATCAACGTTTTGAAGAAAAAGAAATGAGGGGGTCAGAAAAAACAATGTTTTGACCATGATGACGACATCAAATTGTAAAAAGAAGTCAAATATATGAAAGAGAATTGTCTCAGCTATAACATACTCAAAGTTGGAAGACGATCGACCAAGGATAAGCGAGATACGCTCAAATGCGTATTTTAAAAAATGACGTCATAGCTTACGCTGATATTATCGATAATGTAAAAACGCAAAATTGCGCGTAGATGACGTCACGCATGACTGAGCGCGTTGAAAAGCTTACCATGACTATTCCAGACAAAGCCAAATGTTCGCTGACAGCAATTTTGCGTAACTCGTGGCAGTTTTTGAGATATCGCGCGAACAAAAAAGGGGAGAAAGAAAGAAGAATAAAAAAAAGAAGATGAAGATGATGATGATCCTGACAATAACAATAGGTGATCCGCTAACGTTAGCGGATCACCAAAAAGAAGATGATGATGATGATCCTGACAATAACAAGAGGTGATCCGCTAGTGTAGCGGATCACCAATTAAAGTTTGAAGTCATTGCAGCAATAATTATATACAATCATAACAAATACATTTTAAGGTAAAGAAATGAGGTCCCAGATCATGGGCTTAGGTTGAGGAGAAGGTAACTCACCTTGCCCTACCGATGACAGCAAATTAGTTCCACTAAAGTCGGTTAAAATACTAAATATGACCATTCATTTTTCATTGGAAAATTTAGTTCCACATTCTCAATTTTTGCGCATAGGATTTCTATGACTTTCAGTGGAACTCTTCCTTTGTGACACCCCTTTTTTTGGTCCCGAAGGTTCAACTGTATTATATACAGGTATTACCCTATTAAATTCCAATTCTTTTTTTTTTTTAATTGTAAAATGGTCCATATTTCTTCTTTGATTTTGGAAAAAATTGTAAAATGGTCCATATTTCTTCTTTGATTTTGGAAAATAAAAATCATTTAGTAGTACAGTAGTCTAGTATCCTTAATACACTTGATGGTAATTACTTACTTTGCAAAGAATGGCCTCACACATGCTCTTGGATCCTGTTTCATACTCTTTGCCAGCTCCAAAATAAACTGTAAAACGATGGTTTGATGGGCAACCTGTTCCATTAAACTTGATTTCTATCAAAATAAATTAATAAAAATGGCCTCGATTTATCTTAAATGTTAAAAAGAATGATGTTGACATGTCCCAATGTGTGTACTAAATAGTTATGTTGGACGTTACTATTCTTCCGAAATGCTAAAAAAAAAATCGGGAAATTATTTGAGTAAAATATAGTCAACAGTGCTAAATAAATATGATCGCCATGTCGCCATTGGCGACAAAAAAATGAATCGTGGCGAATAGTTTTGTCATTCCCATTGCCATCATGACTAGAAACTGTGATAGCCAAACTGACGATAAAATCAACAGAAAAATAAACATCTTGTCGCTGTGTAGGTCATTTTACGGATGCCCTGGCCAAACATAAACCTGCTGTAAACAGGACCATCGATTATTGTTGTCTAGGTTAGGCCCAGGCCAGCCCAATTGGCTTAGGGCCAGGCCTAGGGTAGGAAGGACCGGTTTATAGGCCTAGTATTTTTAACTATACTCACTACAGTGCTGCCCTAGGATTCCTACGACATTCAAGCAATGGTTTGGGTTATCTAAATAATTATTGTTATAATTACGTTCATTCATAAACAATTTTGGAATACATTGTTTTGTTTCTGTTTATACGTGCGTCGCTCAAAACAAACTATTTTTAAAACATGTGAGCCGCTTCATTTTCGATGTCGCAACAAAACACACGTTGTTGCTGGTTGACACAGGCCTACTGTTGGATGTGTGGTTCCCGGTGGCAGTACCGTTATAGAAAGAATGATACCGCTATTATTATGCTATATGCAGTGTTATGATTTTAAAATAAAAACTTATGAAATTAATGTACAGTATGCTGTAAAAACACGAGTTTTTTTGAAGTTGTAACAATTTTTTACTGGAATTTAACTGTAGAAGGGCATACCGGTACGTCATTTGCCCATGCGTAAACTTTGTATCACGTGATATTTCTGTTTTTGTTTTTAAAACGTGATGCATGATGCTGCATGCTTCGCACAGTGAACTTCGAGGGTAACAGGTCAAAATGGCAATAAACCAAAACGGCAATGACAAAAACAGCAATAACCAAAACGGCAATGGACCAAAACGGCAACGACAAGTAGCAAAACGGCATAGACTAAAATGGCCAAAAGGAGCGAAATCAACACCAAGAATAGCAAGCGCCACAGGGCGTGGGCTGCAGTTTATAATTTTTTAAATCTTTTTGAAATTGTCCCGATAGGCAAATCGAATATTGCCATGGGCTCTTTTTCCCACTTTCAATGTTTATTATTATTTTTGCATTTTTTTTGCAACTTTTATGACATAAATTGTTTAGCCTCATTTTGTCTGTATTTAAAAGTTTTATTTGTTTAAATGTTTTACTGCTTTTATATTGTTCCCACTCCAATCTTTTTAATATTGTATTTGTATGATTATTTTTATTATTGTTATTATTATTATTAATAGCTGCTGCTGTAATTTACCGTATTTAATCGTAGTAGGTCTACACTATATGTTTTTTCCTTTATTTTTACGAAGACAATAAACTTTTATTTGAAAATTGTTTATTGTTTCGCGTTTTTACTTTTATGACATATTGTTTAGCATTGTTTTGGCCTTGCCGTTTTGACTTATTGGCATTTTGGTCTATTGCTGTTCTGGTTAAAAAGTGTTGCCGGTTTTTTGCCGTTTTGGTCATTGCCGTTTTGCCTCCTTAATGCCGTTTTGGTTTATTGCCATTTTGTCCAGAAACCGACTGTGAGTAGTAATGACTTAGGCCTAGAATTACCAATATTTGTAGCTCAATACCAACTGTTATTACTTACCATAATAACAGAATGATTGATTGAAATAAATAAATATACTCACTAAGTATTTTATTTTATTAGATTTTATTATTAAAACTTAAACTAAACTGAAGTTGAAATTTTAATGCAGCACGACCGTCTAGCGAGAGAAACGGGGATTTCCCTATAGTAAGAATACATTGTTTCGTAGCCAGAAGTTTATAGAAGTTCGTTGTTTAATAATCGGCCGAAAAAGTTAAAATTTCTTTATGTGAACATTTGTAAATATTGACAAAATGATTCAAAATAATTAAAAACTTAACATTATATATAGGATGGTTTGGAGCTTAAAAATATAGGTGCAGCTTATACACAGGTGACACAAAAAATTGTAATAATTCGTGTCCTAATTAGGGGTGCGGCTTATACACCAGAATATACGGTATATATTTTAAATATTACTGTTTTTATGATTTTTTGCGACTGGACTGTGTCAAAGGTGCCTTCCACCTGTTGGTCCCATCTTCTACTGATTTTGTACTATACAATTTTAAGTGAGAATTGAATAAACTAAACAAGGAAATGAAAAAAAAAAAAAAAAAAAAAAACGACGTACAAGAGTAGATTTATACTTTAATAATCAAATGAGTCAATGTTTTTTCTTGCAGTACATTAAAGCCTATGGCTACAAAATTATTTCAATTTAGCGCCAAGTAGGCACTAGGTAAAAATTCCTATAGCCAAAAGGCTTTGGGATCTAAAATAGATTTTTTGAGCACTGGTCAAGGTGCTAAATTCCTTATCAAATAAGGGAGTAATTCAATAATTATCTTTGTGTACGTCAAATTTAAAAAGTTACTATACCTCTTCTACTTCTAGATCAATGCACCAAATTGCTAAATAATTAGCAGCTTCTTCACAAACTAAGTGAGGATTGTCCACAAGTATTTTCTGACTGTCTTCCCATCTGCGGAACATGCCAAACTTCTGGATGTCTTTCTCATAATTCTTAACAAAGTTTCTCTAAATATTGTCAAAAAGTTAAAAAAAATTTAACCAAAACATAGGAACTACAGAAGCATGCTGTTGCAGCACCATAATTCCAGAAATTCAAATTTGTATTTAGACTTATATGATATTAAAGACATGAGTAAAAATATTATATCACAATGATAAGAAGATTGATAAGAAATTCTAAACCTCTGGTTCTTAACTTTTAAGCACTGCTATACCTATGGATTGGGGTGAAATCCTGGCGTTTCAGTGGGTAAATCCCCCTGCTGGCGGCAAACAATTTAAGGTTTTTGATAATTTCTTGTCTCCAAATTTTATATATATTTTTTAATACTTCTGTTTTTATAAATATATATTTTTTATATAATTTTCTTGCAGGTTAGATAAAAGTGAGGCTATTAAGAACCAGGGCTCTAAACACTCAAACAAATGAAAAATTCAGCTTGGATTTAGTAACATCTTTGATCCGCATAGGTCTATCATCATCTCTTACCCATATTTGTATTTAAATGTTTTATGTACTGTTTTATGAACATGGTTTTTAAAATAACATTTTAAAAATTTTTAATAAGCTTAGTTGGCTAAACTGGTGGTAACCACTGCTTGTGAAAAACTTTTACAGATAAATAGAACAAGCAGAATTTTTTCTTCCATAGGCATATTGCCACAGGTTTTAAGTGAGAGCAGCTAAGCTCAGTTGGCTAAACTGGTGGTAACCACTGTTTGTGTGCTGAACTATGGGGGATATCTTGGTCTTGGTTCACTTCAAAATCGCTGCTTTTCTTGTACTTCAGGTGGAGTGCTGAAATACAAGTTACGATAGGGCACCGTTTTTCGGATGAGACATTTAAGCCGTTGGTTCCATGTATATTATGGCCCATGTGCATGTTAAAGAGCGTACAGTAGTACACCCCTAAAGAGTAGGGGATTGTCTCCCGCGTACTGCCCAATCCCCACCAGAAGAATCAACACTGGAAATAAGTCTTCTCAAATAGAGAAATCTCAAAAAGTTTCTCTATGACAGCCTACCTGCTTTTCTTCTTTCTGCTCCTCAGTTAAATCAGCATCAGTACGCGTGTACTTGTTTATGCTTGTTTTGGTGAACCCGTCTTTGCTAAGGGTATCTACATTCCAAGGGGTTGCCTTCTCTTGTTTTTCAATCTCTGCTTCTTTCAATCTCCACTCTTTCTCTTCTTTAATAAGTTTGTTAAGATCTGCTTGCAATTTTTCTTTTTGCTTTGAATCCTAAAATAAAAATCTCTAAATATGAATAAGATAATATGGACTGTACCCATGGAATAGGTTGACAATGCACCAAAACAAAAATCTATTATATTACATTATTTAATATTTGAATGTTTCGCATGTTGATTAAAACTTTTTTCTACATATTTACAATATACTTCAGTAACCAAAACACTCCCCAGTGAGCCAAGGAGGTTGAAAATTGTGAATGTTTGCCTTTTAGCAGGCTACTGTGGAATTACATTTCATACAAACATTACTATTGTGCAACTATAATTATCTCTAGAAAGTATAGGGCTACCTTTTACCATCTATAAGATTGTAACAAGTATAGAGCTACCTTTTACCATCTATAAGACTGTAACTCAAATTTAACTTTTTTAAATGTTTGATGGTACAGTAGTGCATCTATAGTAATTGTTATTGTCATGATGAAATAGAAAAATAACTGGATTTGCATCAGGAGAAACAAATCCAGTTATTGTCTATTCTATCATGACAATAACAATTACAATCAACACTGCAGTACCTGCTGCTTACTTGGACTCGAATTCAACACTGGCCATCAAGAGCAAGCTCGGTGGTCTAGCGGTATGATGCCAGGCTAGTGATCTGGAGATCGTGAGTTCGAGTCCAACCCGAGAACAACTTCCACGTCAGGTAGGGCAAAAATTACACTTATACACAGTAGTGCATCCTTATAATCATGAAAAAGCTGTGTGCTATATATGTGCTACGTGTGCAGTTATCAACACATACGAACAGTAACTTTCATGCTTAGATGATGCATAGAAGTCAATAAAAATAGGCTCCCAGCAGGAGAATGTGTCTATGGTCATACTGCCTTACTGTATTATGGTTACATAAAGTATCCACATGACATTGGGTTATCAGGAAATGTGTGGTGTTGTATATTTTTATGACTTTTGTACAGTAATCAGGTACTTAAGATGACATGTGACCCATCATGCACCTCCACGACCACCGGATTTACCCTTTCAGCCATCTTTAACTGCCAGACAACAACATAGTGTCTTTGCCCTCAAGGGGGCATACACACAAAAATGGTTACACATTCACAATATAGTTGAGTGTTGAATTGTAAATGCACAATAATGTTGTTAACATCAAATTATATAATAATATGAATACAATAAATAACAATACCTCCCCACTGGCTTCCAGATTTTCAAGTTTCTTCCTTAGATCTTCTACCCTAGTCTTATTTCTGAAAATAAAATGAGTCCGAGCATGCTCAACCTAATATAATAAAAATTGATTAATTTCTTATAAAGCCATTTTTTACAGTAAACAACTAGAATTTCTTCTTTGTTTTGCTTATCATCCAATGGATATATTTATTTATCTATCTCTTAGATTCGAATAGATTATTAATCTTTGTCATTAATCCAGTTGTCATCTGGCTTTTTGCCACCTGGCCCACAAGCTTCCATGTTTATAAATACATAAAACATCAATGAATTATGTACTACAGAAACTATCTATTTATGAATTTGCAACTTACGAACTTATTCCCAAATGAATACTGAAAATGCTTGAATAAGTGCCAAAGCACTTATAACTTTTTTGGAGGCTTCAGTGTGATGTTTATTCAAGAGCGCAGCTTTTAAAGAAAATATTGGCGTAGCGCTTCCATACCTGTTCCCATGTTCTCACATATTCCCGCACATCGGTAGACCTATCATAGCTTATAGTCATTGTAAATAAACATTTTTTTTTTCAAGAAATGCTTGTGTCTTCACTGAGTTATTTACAGTCGAACTCACCTAAGTCGAATCTAAAGTGCCACTGAAATATAGTTCGACTTATTTATATTTGATAAAATACCGTAATATTTAATAACTAATATTTACATGGCCATCAAGCGAACACATTTTTAAATACAATAAATTCAGTTGGAAAATCTCAAAGACCAAACCAATACTTACTAGGTAATAGTCTATAATATATATATTTCAACACGTGTATTAATCGTAAGTTAACCAGATGTGTATAACCTGCCACAAAATGGACCGTTCAAAAATCGCCCACTACATATGCACATGCTTGCTTCTCGCTACACTGCAAGGAGAGCAGGCTATCCTCTGCAGATAGTTTGTAAGCATCAAAGATCGGAATGAAGAAAAAACAAGTAGCACATTTGTTTTATGACAAGTTATTCCCTATACAGTACCTAAATTCCATAAGACATTTACTCTATTTTACAATTACTGTACGTATCTTACAATTTAATTTACTGTATTTAAAAAAGAACTAACAAAACCTGAAACAGTGCTTAAACATTCGTCACTTGTCGACGTTACCACATGTCTGAACAATAGTGAGG